TGAGATTAAAAAATCAAACAAATGGATTTGTAATCTATTTACGTAATTTTGAATTCTCTGGGATTACTTCGAAAAATAAAAGCAATATTTTCAATTAAACCGAATCTGAATGAAATGTATATAAAAATGTATATAAATCCTATATAAGTACTTTGAAAAATCGAAGTAAATTCTTTCAAGTAAATTCAAACTTGAATCAAATATGAAATGTTTTTTATAAATATTTACTAGAAATTTTATGCTGCTTTGAGTCAAAATGTTTTACAATTAAAAAATAGGCTAATTGAGAATCCACGTGGTAAAAAGTGCGCCGATACTTTTAGAAATTTAATATTAATATATTAATATAAAAATGGATCAAACGTTTCGGCTCTAATTTGAGCGATCTTCAATGATAATATATATATATGATAGTAATGAGAAAAGCTTTCTTAATTCCAGTACGTTAATAAGTTTTTATATTAAATTTCTAAAAATATATTAGCGCACTTCTTACCGCGCGGATTCTTAATTGTCCTATTTTTTAATAGGACAATTGTAAAATTATATTCATATTGAGATTTGATCTTAGTATTAATTAAAAACGTAAATTAAATATTATAATTGAGTTATTATAATATTTAATAACTATAACTTAGTAAATTATTAATCATTAAAATTAAATATAATAACAATATAATTAAAAATATAGAATGAAAATTATTTAAAAGCATTACGCATTACATTTTTTAAATTAATAATTTTTTTTAATTCAAATACTTTATAAAGATTCAATTCTTTATAAAGCAGAGATTATTATCTGCAAATATATTTCGAATCTTGCAAATACTCATTCCAAAATTATTGAATAATTAAACTCAATTATTTCGCTTAATGTATGAAATAATGTATGAAATATTATTTTTATATAAATATTATTTAAATATTATATAAATATCATTTTCCTGGGAAAGAAAACTTGATCGTTAGTTTTCATTAAAATTTTTAAATATATAATATTAAATTTGAGCCTATTTCTAATCTTCTCATAAAGCATTTCGTTACGATCCAGATAATGATCTAAAAAAATGCTATATCTTTTGCTAGATCTCCTTTTATGATCCATCTTTCTCCGTAGCAATACTTCTCACTGAAAAATGTCGCTTGTCGAAAAAATATCGAAAAAATTGTAACGACGAAATTTATAAATTAGCTGCGTTTGTGTTCAAAAGTATATGAAATCTCAATATCACATAATATCTTTCAATAGTTTCAGATATACTAATAAATATCGCCAAAAAGAATACAAAATACTCCGCTGGCCTACATACATGATGGCCTCGTCTACTCTCGCTAACCGGGACACGCGTTAAAGTCACCACAAGCTGCAGGTGTTGCCTATTCAAGGATATTGAGATTACACCGTGTAGCGTCACAGGATGTGTCAAGATTAATCGTATCCATGTTCGCCCATTAGAATTTCACTGGAATTTCATTACCATTCAAATTTTGAATCAAAATAGGATTAGGCCACAAATAAACACATACACATTATCTTGAACCTTTATCCTTAAAATAATTGGTATTAAATAATTGGAAATAGATGCATATGATGAATATTATTATAATAAATCTTAAAACAGTTTAATAATATAAAATCGCATGTTATCTTGCAGGGAACATGTATTGTGTTATGCAATTATCTATAAAATAATTATCTATAAAAATTATGAGCAATCACATTGATTCAATTCAGAAAACGAGATTGAACTCGGATAAGCGTGCGCAAACATTACATATAATTATAATTTGTGTAAAATAAAAATAAAAAAAGAAAGAAGAAACATCCATTTCAAAAATTAATTCTATCCCAAATTTTTTCCCGTGATAATTGAATTTGATTCACGTATATGAAAACACACTTGTCAATGCAAAACTCTATTTTATATAATGTCTTTTTAGATTCGACATTAAGGACTATTAAAAAAAATAAATTAATTAATTAATTAAATCATGTCTTTTTAAGTAGAATTCTTTTGCGATGAAAGTTCTGTAAGTCCTAGCCGATGTATTATTCGCGTTATTTTTATCTAACGGTAAAGATCGTTGTGGCCCGGTGCGGCAGAGACAGTGGAGGCGGAAGGAAAACCTGCACTGCCCGGTTTCTTGCAGCCATGATTGGTAGTGGCCGTCAGTGCTTGCTTAACCGTTGAGCCGTTAGCAAGGTGTGGACTCTCCAAGAATTCTCCAACTTTCCGACTTAACGTCCACCCCCGTGTTTTCTTCTTTTGCATCGCAGAAGACACGAAACTATCTACGGCGATCCAACTCGGTCGTCAAGTTCGTGATTTTCTTGGTGCAGCGGAGGAAGGTGTCCGCTTCCGTCTCTGGCCAGGTGAGTCACCGAGACGAATTATTTTGTGCGATGACGCGATTTCCTTGCCTGTCCTCGTAGGAGGAATTTTTCTTTTTCTTATTCGCAGCCTCACAATGATAACGCAAAATCGCGGTCGTCTGGTCATTTCAATGAGCCGGAATCGTCTTTTCTTTTTCTTTTTTTTTTCTTTTCTTTCATTCACGATTGCCCTGAATCCCCGTCGGTGAAAGTTCCAAAGTCGTAGCGACGAATCGGTCGCGATACTTTCGTTGCGGCTAGTGATTTGCAGACTTTTAACCACACTGATGGCTAAATTTAATCGACGGAACGTTCGACAGACTGCTGAATTGAGATCCACCGATTTCCCAATTTACGGAATAAACAAGTGGAAAGTAGAATGGCCTAATATGAATACTTTCGTGCTGAGAATTTCGCTCTATTATCATATACGATGTGTTCCACTTCCCGCACATTGTTTTAATGATAGATTCTTTAATCAATTTGAGGTCGATCTTTTCTTGACGAGAATATCGAAAAAAATTATAATACATATAGCAACTTTCTAATTTAACTTTATGTATCTTTAAAATTTTAGATGAAAAACATAATTTTTGTTATGCGTGACAAATCTTTCTTTTCTTTTAATCATAAACACGGAAATTATCGTTTCTTTTATATTATTATATGAAAAATGTTAAAAATGTTAAATTATATGAAAAATTAGTGAAAAGTATTTTAATTAAGTATTTAAAACTTGTTTATTATCTTTTTTTGATACAATATGTTATATTGTGTTATTAATGTTATAAAGTATTACGAAAAATATTTAACGAAACATTAAAAAATTAAAAATTATCAACATATATTGTGAAATGATCTATTTGAATGATATACACAATATTTTCTATATTTTTAATATAATAGATATGATCAAGAACATCTTGCAAACATAGAAGTTGAGAACATATTTACGACTATGTACGTCTTATTTTTCTTCGCAAAAGAAACGGAGCAGTGCAAAAGTGTCAGATGCAATTAAATCCTACTAATGTTACAAGATTCTCAGCGTTAAGAACGTAATTCGATCTTATATTCTCCGTTCGCAGTATTCTCCGTATTTAGCATCACGTATCACTTTATTGCAAAAGAGAGAAGAAAAAGAGAGAAAGAGAAATATTAGATAAGCTAAATTTTTTTGTATTTTATTTTAGAGTTGAATTTAACCTAAATAAACTTGATTTTGCCTCAAAAATTAAAATGAAACTACTTAAAACTACTTAAATGATGGGAAAAATATAATAACTAAGAATTATCAACGAAAATAACGTTGAAAAATTTTAAACTGATTTCTAAAAAAATTGCATTTTCTCTTTTCTTTTTTTTGTGTAAATTAAATTTATTTATTGCTAAAAAAGACAAAAGATAATAATTTTACAACTTAGACTTAATGCGAATAATTAAATAAATATTATATTATTAAGAAATATTCACAAAACATAAAAGTGATATTAATTCAAGTAGTTATCGCAAAATAGATAGATAAGAAATTGTTTTGTATTTTCGGGCTACAATAATGATAAAAATATTGTTGCTTTTTTATGTTATCGAAAGACATGACATTAAGTTTATCTTTCTACAATGTTTGTTTAATAGAGTTAAATACAAAACGTGATATCGTTATTGTACTGTTTCAATGAAATAAACTTCTAAAATATAATAAGAATTTTGCAATATATGATAATTAAATCTCTACTATATATTTTATATATAGTGACGATTTAATGTTGTATATATATATATATATATATATATATATATAGTAGTTATT